TCTTTATAAGTATACTCACATCACACATCTGTATACACATAATCAATTTGAAATTCGATCAGTATACACGGATACCCTTTCATTTGTATATGTTAAAATTTATATATTCATGCCTGCGACGTCAAAACATCTATATATATGCATAAAGTATATCCCTATAGATTCACACACAGTCAGGTGTTTTACTCCCGCTCATTCAATAAGGTATACGTACATATGCACACATATATAAACCATCTGTTCTCTGCACAACTTTTATTACCGAATATCAAGCTGTATCTCCAACGGGTTATGTACATCATGTCTCATCGATCCAACGTTATAACTCAACAACGAGTTTACATGCACCCGACTTTTGGTTTAAAGTACTGATTGCACCCCACTTTTGGTTTAGGGTACTCATTGTCCCATGCTCTCGCTGGAGTGGTCTGTGGGTTGTTGGAGATGAGATCAGCGGTGATGGCGATGAAGCAGCGAAAGTGACTAGTAAACGAATCATCGTGGATGTAAGAGACGAGGATATAGGTCCACTCTCAGGTGTGTACATGTGTAAGCAAGTAGTGAGTTAACGGATAGAGATTGTATTGGTTTGCTCAACTTGACTCAATCAACAGTTGCATTCCAGCATGGTTATGTCACACTATAACTTATACGTACTACATACATACACTATCACTTATACACACCACACACATACACTATAACTTATACACACCACACACATACACTATCACTCATACACACCACACACGTCACATACAAATATACATAGTGCACAGCAATGAAGATGTGGACGTGCAGGTGGACGTCAAAATCAGCGTTGCTGCGGAGGACGCGTTTGTCAATGACGGTAGCCATTCTGAAAAAACCCTAAACCCTGATCAATCGAGTGACGATGGGGGTGAGCTCACTCTGCGCTTCACCCACGACACCGCTGCGTCGGCTACTGCAACCGGTATGGTTGTTGATATGTCAGTTCTTTAACGTATTGTGTTGATATGTCAATGCTTTTACTTAGCCTGTTATCATGTCCATGCGTTAACATATCACGAGATGATGCTCTCCTGTCATACCGTGGCTATTGGTAGGACTTACATAAAGCAGCTCTTGTGCGCACACACGAATACATCTACACCCGTCGGTACTCTCAGACACACACCCGCTTATGCAACCAACCCGACAGGCACAGACACCGAACCCAATGATCACCACACCGCAGCAGATGCGAGTACAGGCGATATGCCCCGCACCCTCAGAGAAAGTGGTGGTGGACAGGTGGGTACCGGAGGGGAGGCGGATGCCTATGCCTATACAGAACGGGACAGAAAAGAGGGCCTCGAGTCCCATGCCGAGACGATTGAGGACACAGCACCTCCAGGTGATACGGGGGACTGGACGGGTGCAAATGCGAACCGTGGGGGTGCACATGGTATACATACAGCCACACACGCACGTGCACGTGCCGAGATAGGCACGGGTACTGAGCCTGATAGAGGTAGCCGAGAGAATGCCGTTGCTGACTGCAATACGAATCTAGGTGAAGTGGAGACAGAAAGAACTGGTAAAGAGAAAGGGGGGATGAGAGAGGATAGGGCGATGACTGACAACCCGACAGTGCATGGAGAGGGTAGTACGGGTAACAGGCCACAGGTTAACGTAAATTCCTGGTTGAAGAAGTGGCAGAAGAAGCATGCGGGTGCTGAGGAGGCTAGTGATCTCGACGGGTTGAGTATAGGAGTCAGAGAGAGGGCAGAGACAGATGGTACAGATACTGAGATAGATGGTTCAAATGCCGAGACAGGTGATAAAAATTTTGATGCAAATTCTGAGACAGTTGGTTCAAATTCTGAGACAGGTGGTACAAATTCTGAGACAATTGGTTCAAATTCTGAGACAGTTGGTTCAAATTCTGAGACAGTTGGTTCAAATTCCGAGACAGTTGGTTCAAATTCTGAGACAGGCGGTACACATTCTGAGACACGCGGTACAAATTTCAAGAGCTCGGGTGCAGAATTGGGGATGTTCGGTGCAGATACCCAGACTGTACGTATGGATTCTATGGAGGGGCAAGTGAAGGATCATGAGGAAGTGGGGCGTGCACAGGTGACGGTGGATCTAGCGGTGGGTGCTATACGCCAAACGACAGACAGCCGTATGGGGGGAGACGGCTCGCGCTCAGACACGGCTACAACGACGGCAGACGAGATGCACGAGCATACACACACACAGGGAAGAACACACAGCCACACTCAGGGACACACAGAGGCACAGACAGAGGTGTATGGCGGGGGAGGGGTGCACGCACAGCCCACGGACACCTTGCCGAAGGGGCTGGGGAGAAGCACTGTGGCAGGTAAGAGTGAGGTGAGTGAAGGAGATGGGATCGAGTATAGGGGTGCGGATGAGACGCTCAAGACGGGGGGGATGCTGGAGGATGTAGGGGCCAATGTAGGGGCCAAGGTAAGAGAGGACGTACTGGAGAATGAGGACGACGCCGAGTACACGCGAGAAGTGCAAGTAGATGCGCAACAAGAGATGGGCACGGCTGGAAGCAGTAACGATCAAACGGCACACAATGAGAAGAGTAGAGATGTTATATACGAAATCAATGGGGAAACACGCAGGAAGAACTGCACTGGATTA